GATTCCAGATGTTCACGGTGGAGATTTTCACAATTCCAAAGGTACTCCCAGAAGTTCACGATCCAATCGCTACGAGATTCTTAGACGTTACCGGTATGGATTCCGGATGTTCCAGAATAGTATTTCAAATGTTTCCGAAGGAGATTTCAAACAACCGCGACGAAAATTCCAGATCAAAGCGGCTGCCTACTTGGAAAAAACATCGGGTAACGAATGGATCTATCTTCTCGAGAAGGAGAACAGAATCCTCCGTACAGCAGCCAATAAAGACCTCCCCCCAATAGCCAAGAGCCACTGGCTGGGAGGAAAAAGTTGGCAATCGAGACCATTAAACATCGAAAGCCGAATTAAGGACCAGTTTAGGGCAGGAGACAACTCGGCGGCGCTCAGACATTTCGTCGCGGATATGCTAAACTCCGGGTACTCCAGGCAAACGCCCCTTTTTACGGGCGGGTCCAAATAGCACTACGGAGTTGGGATAGGCATTGCGGGAAAGATCTCGCCAGCGAGCTTGAGCCTACCGCCACAATGCCCTGTTTTTTCTGCAGAGGCAGCGGCGATTTTCGAAGCAGCAATCACACCATCCGACCGACCAGTCCTAATCCTCACTGATTCACACAACATAACTTCTGCTCTCCGGTCTAACATGCCCACTCATCCGTGGATTCATGGGGTCCATCAGATATGCCCCCCCCCCCCCCCCAACACAGTGTTCGCTTGGGTCCCGGGTCATTATGGCATCGCTGGCTACTCCAACGCTGACAGACTGGCCGGGGTGGGACCATCTGATGAAGTTCCCCTTCCGGACATCAAGCGATGGGTCGAAACTTTCATGCAGGCTAGGTGCCAAAAAGAATGGTTGGCAAACCAAGGACCGCTTCTAAGGAAAATCAAAGAGAGCACGCGTCCATGGAAGGACCTTGGGAACCTGAAAGAGCAACGAGTCTTCTTCTTCTTCTTCTTCTTCGCATTTCAAGCTTATTGCATATCGCATATTAGCTTATTGCGTGCTCTCAACTTAGTGTTCTAGATGCACTTCCACAGTTTTTAATTGAGAGCTTGCGATGCCTGTACCATTTATGCATTGGTATAATTGTGAGGCAAGTACAATCATACTTCTATGCCCAGGGAAGTCGAGAAATTTTCCAACCCGAAAAATTCCTAGACCGGACCGGGAATTGAACCCAGCCACCTCCAGCATGGTCTTGCTTTGTAGCTGCGCCTTTACCAACTGAGCTAAGGGAGGAGCAACGAGTCATCTCCAGGCTTCGCACATGTCACACCCGGCTCTCACACGATTTCGGCGGAGGAGTTTTCCGCAAGAGCTGCGTCGTATGTCATATTCCAGCCACCGTCGAGCATATCCTCTGCGTGTGTCCGAAGTACGAGCTCGTACGGCAACACTACGGCCTTTCGGGGAATATCGGCGACATACTGGGCGACGAACCTTCGATCCTGCTACCGTGATCTCCTTCCTGAAGGACACTGGATTGTTTTTAAATGTTTGATTCCTTCCTTTCGGCCGTCGGGGCATCTCTACCGGACGGGGGCACCGCCTTCCACGGTGGAGCTCTCCTTGTTCGGATTAGTCAATAAGTTAACTCAATGTCAATGGTCTAGTTTGTTCTTCTGTGTTTCCCAAATTTTAAATGTCGTCCAACCAAAACTCTGTAAATTCCAACTGTGTTTTTTTCCCAAAGCAGCCCTTAAACCTCTGATATTTTTCCTGCAAAGTGAAGAACTAGCCAATGGCTAAAATTCACTAAAATAATGGAAAAATATATTAGGGTAGATGTACCAGTTATGGCTATAAGTTCCTATTATGGGATTTCCATAGGCCATTATTGGAACACACCATAATAGGAACGTATAGCTATAGCTGATACATCTACCCTAGTAAGAAATGGTACATATTTCGGAATTCTATTCGGTACTATAAAGTAAAGATTATATGAAAATGGAAATAGGGTAGAGAACTACTTCGTCCTAATCGCCCATTTTGGGCCTATCGAGCAGAAAGCTTCAAATAAATCCATGATTTCAGAGATAACAAGTCAATTATGCGGTTTGGTACGATACTTTAGCTAATAAGCTACCGAACGAAGTAAATGAGAACGCGTGATATGAACGTTTGCACCCATTATTCCCAAAAACAAAAGAAGCGCTCCGACCGATTCAATTTTTATTTTCATCCGATAGGCCGAAGTGAATTCATTGGCGTTTCAATGGCGTTTCAATGCGTTAGGCCGAGTTTAGAATCCGTAGGCCGAGTTTGGCGCCAAGAAGCAGTGTTAGACTTTTGACAATATCTCAACGATTAGTGCCAATCAACCACGGACATCGATTGCCATCCATTGACGGCAATCGAATGTGCAGGAAGGCAGCTTCCACACCTGCGTAGGATATCGCACCCATTCAACACGCATGGGCCGGGACCAACGGCTTTACTTCCCTTCCGAAGGAAGACGTGACCAGAGATTTTTATGCCACAGAAAAATCCCACCGACCTCGGCTGGGATTGAACCCAGACCCATTGGGGTGTTAGAAAGCAGTCACGCTTACCACTACACCACCGGCGCCGGCTCTCAGACCACAGACTGCACTTAATAATTGCATGTTTACAAAACATTAGAACCTTTCTGTTTACCAACTGGGAGAGATCAGTCGTTTTCAAAACAAAACACTCCTACGGACGATCATGGTGTTGGTGTCATCCCGACCCGGTACGATGGTATGTATTCAGGGGTTTGACATATAGCTGCATACACGTACTCAACATCAAAACAACAAAACATATCAGGGTACCGCTAACAACGTTGCAGATGTTCGGTACGCAGCAAACTTAAGCGATATGACAGCCATATTCATCCCCTGTATGTATTGGTGCCGAATAGCCGCAAACGAGGGTCGCGCAAAAAGGAAACTTCAACAGGAAAACGACAGCTAAGAAGTCATCCAAGAGAAATGACCTCCCCGAAATTGATTTTCGTACCGGATCTGGTACTTTCCCGGCGAATTTCAGCACGTTCGACTGTACCGTTAGTAGCACGCAGTTCACATTCGCACCGGTTCGGAAAATTTTCAGATATAAGAAATGGAAACCATTCAATTCTATTAAATTTCGTTAGTCAATAGCATATTTCGACGCTATGCTGCTAGCCTTCGATAATCATGCAAAAAATCGAAATGGAAATATTTCGCGGAATATTTCAAAGCCGTTCTATAGGTTTCACGACATTCCGCTTCCTATTGTATTTCATATCGGAAAAAATAGAATGAAAAATATTGTTCCACAAATTCCGCGGAATTAGCAAAGGCATTTCGTTTCGTATCGCACTGATTTTTTTTTATATCGCATACCCTTAGTCACAACAGTGTCCGAGATTTCTAGATAGAGCTGGAATTAGGGCGTAACAGCTTTTGTAAACAATGACTTCTTCCGATGATTTTTAGGAACTCAAGGCACGCAGACCAACATAACCATCGGATAGTGGAAGTCTTTCTCTACCCGATGGGGATGTTGGTTTGCGTGAGCGAGCCTTGAATTTCTAGAAATCATCGATAGAAGTAATTGTTTACAAAAGCTGTTAGGCCCTAATTCCAGCTCTATCTAGATTTGTGCTCTGGAAAACTAGAGGTGATAGGGCACATCAGCCATCATGACAGCAATTTTTGAACTCTTCAAGGAATCACCCTAATATTCCTGGATGGTTTGAAGATGGACAGAAACAGTTCCAGGTCGACAGTTTATTTGCGTAATTTTAATATCATAAAAATAACTGACCCAACCCCAATCGTTCCAATTCAATCGCGTGCAGTAAAATGCCACTCGTATCCTTCCCGTGGATCACAAACGCCCAACAATTAACTCCCCATTTCAAAACCACCACCCATAAAAAAAAAAAACAATTTCTCTATTTCTCCCAACGTATCATTACACGAAAAAAACAAAACACCTAGTGAGACATTTCTTTCTCTACGTAAAGTTGTACGTACTAGACTACTGCCATGATGGTTCATTGTTTAAACTAAGCATTAGAACCGTAATCCGAAGGAAAACACACGACACAACGAATCCCACTAAACACACGACATAAAGTTTGCCGTGGCCTCCACCATCCGGAACACCACAAGGCGCCTGCTTTTGGCGTTTCAACACCAGTGCGCTCGCTAGGCGGTTTTTTGAAACCCTGTCGCCACCATCATATTCATGACGATGATGTGTTTGCTTTTCGCTAGTAGGTAGGGTAAACATTTACAACGGCCTAATTGCCCATTTTTGGCCTCTCGAGCATAAAACATCGGATATATCTATGATTTAGGCGTTAACAGGTCAGTTAGATGTTTAATGCGATGCTTTAGTGCAAAAGCTACAACACAAAGTCTTTAAGAGCAGTTAGTCTTTAGTTCACAAAAACGAATCAATTTTTTTATTCATCCGTATTACGAATTGCATCCAATGATGAGTTGTATTTGTTTTTTTGTAAACAAATTTAGATGTCATCTATAGGTAGGTGAAGTGCTTAATAGGCCCAAAATTAGATCTAAACCCTACCATCAATCCCGCAAAGCTCCCAAAACCATAAAAAGGTAGGTTTTCGGGCTTTTCAACGCTCGCGCACACACACACACTAGTAATTAAAAAGTTGTTTAACTTTGCGTTTCTTTTTTATTCATCGTAACTCGTGGTATGCTTCAGGAAGGATCTGACGGTTTCATGGTAGCGGCGTAGCTAAATTGGCTTGAAACATGAAACTTTTCCTCCTCGCTGCTGAGTTGCAAGTGTGCTTTTGAGGGAATGAAAAATTGTTTGAATAACTCTTTTTCTTCTTTTTATGCATGATTTATGATGACGACCAACGCGTAAGTTAGTCAAGATTCGCGATAAAAAAAACATGCTATGTTTCTATGTCGATGAAAGACCAGCAGAAGTTTCAAGTTGCTTCTTCTGGTAAAGAACCGTTACCAGAAAGTGGCACTTAGGCTAATTAGAAACTTACCTTGAACCCTTTGTACCATTCCTTAATCGTGGACTCGTCGTATCGGGTGTGTGATTTGAGAAAGTCCATGTCCTCTTTCGAGAGGCGGTCCTTACTACCTAAACAGCCCATGTCCTGAAAGGAGGAAAAGAATACAAAGAAAAAATTGCAATTAGCTTTCAATAATATTAAAATGAATAATATGCTAAAAACACACAAACCAATGCAATAACTTTCAAAAGTTGGATTCTGTTAAACCTGTTCAACCCCAATCACTTTCCAAGCATACAAATCATAAATTAAAATGAAATGGGTTATGCTATGCCCCTTCCCCCGCCCATTCCATGCAGAACCAATTGATCGTGGGAAGTGCCTACGCATCATGCTAGCAAATCAAGCGAAACTGATTCCGGACAGGAAAATCCGCACTCACCGGAATGAGTTGCAAAAGCAGTAGGTTCATACGGAGACGGCAAGAAAAAAAAATCCGGTATGGGATTGAAACTGATGACGGCTATACTAACTTTTTTTGCGTACCTCTTTGCGTTTCAGTAAGTTTTTTTTTTTTCGTTTGTCAAATATTGAACATCCGGTCGGACACTAACCTCGCCTTGGGGTTTTTTTGGTGTATGATTATTTTTTCAATGGTAGCATAGAAAAAATAATCATCTGAAAGTGTGTTTATCGACGTGGGCGAGATGTTGATATTAAAGCTTGGAATTCCATGCTCGGCAAAATACAATTTAAACATTACTATTTTCGAATTGCAATTCTTAGTCTAACACGGTATGAATAAAGCAATTGTTGAGAAGCTTTGTAGAGATGTATAGAATATCACTGATTCATGTGATATTTTTCACTAAATCATATGAATTTGTTGAACTGATTCTTCCAGAAAACGGCGATTGTTTGCATGTGAAGTTCATGTATAAGCTAATTCTTCAGATCATGACTATCTACAGGGTGGCCACGGAATTTACGAAATAAACTTTCTGATTTTTCCCGGTTTTTCCTGTTTGTTCAACATATTTTTACTGCTTCCACAGCTAAATATGGCAAAAAAGAACTACACTTGATTTCAGCAATTGATGTCAGTGGAAAAAAGACTGCGGCATTGTATTTTAAATACCAAAAACTGAAGAAGTTGCACCTCCCCCCCGCCCCCTAAGCAGAAACAAACCAAATTACCCGATTTTTGAATATTTCTTAGGTTTCATATTTCAGCCATTCCATCATAGCAAAAGGATTCAGTGGTTCCCAGAATTTCGCAAAAAATGATAGTTTTGTTCCTTATCGCAAAATATTAGACTCGTATTTTTGTTATTGTCAGTAGGGTGACCATTTCCATGTTAGAGTGGTCCAAAAAATCGTTTTTTTTTTCAAAAATAAACTTTTTTTTTTGTTTTTTTTTTGTTTTGAGTAATATTTTTTTTAAAGTTATCAAGTTTTGGGGTTTCGCTCAATACTCCTATGCGACTAGACTACCATGCGTCGTGACCATGTTACAGTCACTATAAATCAATGGAAATGCAATTTTTACGAAATTCTGAGAACCACTATATCGTTTTGCTATGGAATGGCTGTAGGGGTGCCTGGGATAAAATGCACCGGTGAGGTATGATGCACCCCCTTCGTTTTAACACGAAAAAACATGTTTACAACAACAACAAAATACCCTACCAGTTAAATCTATGTTTACTCTGGGTACCCTATCAATTTGGCAACTCTATGCTACCAGAAAATATAAATAAAACCAAAAAGCAAGTTTGCTTTGGATGTAGTGTAATGTTTTCCTCCGCTTCAGTAAGACTGTTTATCCATTGAAACTGTATTAACCGTCGCGAATAGTTATTATCCAGTTGATTGAGGTTCCGTCTACTTCTCTCTGATAAAATATCGGCAAGTTTTATAATTTATTTTATGACCAAAAACATTTTCTTGGTATGTTCGGGGCAAAATACGAACTTCGGGGCAAAATGATCCTTTAGTGAACAAACTATGTTTACGTTTTATTCCTTCTTCAGAAATGGTCTGCAATTACGTCCGGAAGTCTAATCGGCGGTCATGGACCGTTGATCAACTATGATCGGCACTAGAGGCTGTCAAAACGGTGTCTCAAAAAGTTATGCAGCTCGGAAATTCCAACGGAAACGCTCATCCGGTACCTATCGAAATCAAGTAATCCATCTTTCCTTCATTGTCTGGAAAATTTCAGATCAGTTTTTAGTAAAGAGCAGGAGCGGCAACTGGTAAATATGAGTGAGTGTTATTACGGATTGACTCAAAGAGACGTAAGAAGTTTGGCATTGGAATTGGCCGAGATGAATCGAATTCCACACCCATTCAGTCGCTCAGAAAAGCTAGCTGGTTATGACTGGCTGAAGTGTTTTCTCAAACGCCATCCAAACCGTTCTATACGATCTGCGGAAAACACATCATTGACAAGAGCAACAGGATTCGCAAATATTTTGGTCTTCTTGGTGAAATCTTCAGTGAGCATCAGTACCCGCCTCACAGGATTTGGAACATGGACGAAACAGGATTCTCTACGGTTTGTAATATATTATGCTTAACCTCCAAATATTATGGAAAGTTTCAGCGAATAAAGGGCAACATCAAGTGGGAGGCATTTCGTCCAGCGAAAGAGGTGTAAATACTACGGTGGTAATGGTCATGTCTGCATATGGAGAATATTTACCACCAATGTTCATCTTCGTTCATGCTCTGAAGGTTGGTGCCCCTGAAGGATCTGTGTTTACCTGCAATCCTAGTGGTTCGAGTTCATTGACTACCTGTTCCGAGTGGTTTTACCATTTTTATCTTATGCTCGACCGTTTACCTTATACTCGACCTGTTTTACTCATACTGGATGGACACTCCACTCATACAAGGAATTTGCTGAAAAAAGCTACAAAGAAGAACTTTGTTCGGATCGTTTCAATTCCACCGCATACATCGCACAAGATTCAACCATTAGATGTCGCATTACCCGAGGAAAGTCTAAGATATAATTGAAATGTAAATTTGATGTTGTGATTCCGCTGATAATGATTCCTCAGGTTGCTGTCGTTTTGGTCGTTTTAACGGTTAAAAAATTGAAAGCAACAAAATCTTCAAGTCTACAGGCGCCTGTAGACTTGAAGACATACTTCAAGTCTCCGCGTACATCGCACGGGTTAGGCAAAAGATGTGCGTTTGACTTTATACTGTCGTATTAATGACCTTCGCTCAATTTCAACTTCTATTCAATTTTCATACTGCCGTACTCTAACGGAACTATCCACCCTCTTCTAAAGATCATTATCTAGCTAATAAATTATCACACTAAAGCTTCAGGTTAGCATTTCCACCATAACTTCTGAAAACCGCTAACTTCGCGTATGAAGTAACATAAAAACACTTAAAAAAAAATCTTCCTGTGGCATCACATTGAAAACTATTTCTGCTATCAGTGAGAGCAAACTGAAAACTCAATTTGATATCCATTTTTCTTGTTGATAACAAAACAAGCATTCAATTTGATGTTATGCTATGGCAATGTATACAGCAAAATGAAAATAAAATTTGGTATCAAATTTTTCAATTACGTAAACGGAAATCAAATTATGATTTCAGTTTGATGTTGATATCAAAACTTGATTTCAATTTCCTGTCATTTTGATGCTGGACTTTGCTCGGGTAATGGGTCCGTTGATGTCGTATTACGCAACGGCGATTGGTAATTTCTTAAAGAGAAATCCAGGCTAGTAAATTGAATTTAGACAATTTCAGGTGTAATTGATGTATTGTACTATGAATTTTCAGGAAAGGCAATCACTCCTTACAACACCTGTGCGCTGGTGAATTACGCCTTCGTCAAATCCACTAATATGCTAACTGCCCAAAATGGGTTTCGTGCCACTGGAATCCATCCATTTCACCGACAGTGATTTGGCAGCAGCAGATTTCTTGATCCGTCCGAGCACGAGAGACAAATCTCATAACACAGACGAGTCATTGAACTCACAAGCTGTTGATGTTCATGCTGGTAATGAAATTATCGTGATTGATTCCAACATGGGTGTGTTGAGCAATAGCATAATTATTGATCAGATTGATGAAAATGAATATTACGTTGGAGGTTATGTGGCTTTCAGTCTTTTGATGCTCAAAAACGGGATTTTAAGTTTTCATCTGACGTTTCGGTCACATGAATTAACTAAATTCCGTTTTAGTGTTAAGAACCCACAGCATAGGCACAATTGTCACGATTTCGGTATCGTATGTTGACCACTCCAGTTTTGCGGTAGGGGCGAGAAACTCAAAATGAACCGGCTAGCAGGACTTGGGTGCAGTTTCTCGTTTTGGCGCCACTTTAACTATGTTACATTGATGAACATTCTATCATCACGAATCCAAGTTAAGTGGATCAAAATTCTTGGTGCTGTTGATGTGAACGGTGATTCTACTTTGGAACCAAAACAGCCAGAACTTTCAATGCTCATTGACGGTGAACATGATGACGGAGCTCCAGTCGATATTGGAATTCAACTTGATCTAACAGCGTTGATGGAGGAACACGAGAACGTTCCACAGGTACAGCAAAATACTATAAAGATGGATGCAAAGAAGAAGCGTAACAGAAGTGCGGCCCTTCACATGCTACCTGGGTTAGATCCTGATGCAAACAGTCGCCCGACCAAAAAAGGGCGATTGGATCAAAACACCAGCAACAATACGCCAAATCTGGACAGTCTTACGATTTTTCCTAGTTCAGTGGCCAGGAAGTAGGAAAAGCCTACGGATAGTCGTCGCAAGAAAGCTGCTTCGAGTAAAGAATATGCTGCTGAATTGACTTCCTCGCCTCATCGCAAAAAGATGATCAAAACAACTGCGTTGAAGGATATAATAAATATTCAGAAAACAGGGCGCAAATACACAGGTCGTAAACCAAAGGCTATTATTACTGATGCTATGGATGATATACTATGCTTCATTTATGGAACTACGTTTATGGTTTCGTGAAACGGTAAAGGATGGTCAAAGTGTATGAATTGCCAAGAATGGTTTCGTACATCCTGTTCTACGAACTTCGAGAAATGTAAATGTAAAAAGACTTCAGTGTATTACAGGAATCCCCTGAATAGTACGGTGGG